TATGCAATACGTCCACCATTCACTTTTATACTACCTAGACAATATAAATTTATAACAATGGTATTATTTACTTGGATCATTCTTATGTGTCTCAATTTGCATTTTAAAAAAGCATGTTAGACTATTATTAGGCAAAATTCAATAGTCAGTCATCTCCTTCAAATTTTTCCTTTGTCATTCTCTAAGAAACGGCTGACATTTTACAAACAATATGAGCAACACTATACTTCATAGAAAATAGAACACTATTTAAAGTTCTAAGTTCATAAATATTGTGGCTGATATTTTATAGACAAAATAAAACATTAGTAAACAATGTTAATATTTGATCCCTTGTGTTTATAACTTGAAACAAAGGTATGTCCTTATAAGGCTCAACATTTATTTAGCACTTATTGATTCAGTGGATAAATACCATAATGAATACCTGTGTTTTAAAAGCATCTCTTTAAATATATATACATATACATATATATATATATATATATATATATTTACTTGTAACATATTATATCATTTTCTCCTCCTCTATCTTCCCTCCATACATTTCTAAACACCCTTCCTTGGTTTTTTTTCAAGGTCACAGCCACATTTTTTTCTTTAATAATTGTTTCTTTATTTGTTGTTTCTTTAGTAACTGCCAAATAATTACTGTATATACATTCACATATTCATCAACACAAACTTCTTAGTCTGTAAAATATTTCTTGTATTTATGCTTTCATGGCAGATCATTTTTGTTGCATAACCAATTGAGGCACTCTTAAAAACATACTGGCTCTTATGGCTAGAGGCAATTTTAATCCTTATTCCTCATTAAGGAAACTTCTCGTTGCAACAGAGACCATTACAACAACCCAAACCAATCAAAATGCAGAGTTTTGGAGATCAGGCTCAACTGAAATACCTCAGACTCAAGGGTCATTTAGGAAAGGAGTTACAAGGACTGGAAGAGCAAGAGTGGCAGGGATTTTTTGTGTGAGATGGGGACTCTTAGACATGTCAAAAGCTATACATAAGAACTTTCATGAACATGGCTGCCTAAACTTGAGCTGGACAAGGACGACACCATTAGACATGTTAACTGTCATAGACGGGGAGAATGCTCAAGAGGCCCCAACTTTAAACAAAGAACTATAGCCAACTATGGAATACTGAGAGCGAGAGTAATAATCGTCCCTAGAGAATGTCTCTACTGTTAAAAATTATTTTCCAGAGAAAACGATACAAGAGAATGAGATTTACATTAAATATCTATTAGAGATTATTTGTATATACTTGGTTTCTTTCAAAATACTACTTTATGAATATTTTTAAACATTATTATTTGTGATGAAATAATATATTTAATATTTATATAATATATTTTTATATATTAATAAATAATATATTTATATATAAGATAAGCACTAATATTAGTGATTTTACTTTTCCTAACTTAAATAAGAATGGTGAAGTTACAATTTACATGATTCTTAGTTTTGCATATGGAATGAGATAGTATAAGTAAGCTACCATCTGCTCCATTTGCAATTTTATAAAAATAAGGTATAAAGCATATCTCACTTCTGAATCACATTTAAGACATTTGCAAGAAATGCCTCAATGTTTTACAAAGATTAAAAATGTAGAAAGAAACAATGAACAAGGATGAACATTAGGCTGAAAAATTTGTTATTTACCATTTCCACTGTAGTAATAAATTAAAATTTCTTTATTAAATTATATAAATAAAATCAAAATTAAGATGTTAAACAATATATATATATATATATATATATATATATATATGCATCTAAGAATATTTCTGAGAATCATCCTAAACTACAAAGTAAATGCTATTATTTTTTATTTAGGCATTTTATAATAAAATTCATGTTAATATTTGTTAAGAAAATAAAAACTAACAAAAAAGTACTTGATTAAAAGACAGGGCAACATTGTGAATACCCAGCAAATTCTTTACCTGATTTTCCCAACCTAAAACCTGTGAACATTTTTCTGAGAACTCTTAGAAAGGATGTAATCTAAAAAGCCATTAAGTTGCAGTACAAAAGTAAAGAAGTCAGAGGACAAGCATTGAATATACATCATGTACACACACACACACACACACACACACACACACACACACACACACACACACACATTCACACATACGCACACACACACACACATTCACACATACACACACACATTCACACATACACACACACATACACACACACATTCACACATACACACACACATTCACACATACACACACATACACACACATACACACACACACATTCACACATGCACATACTCACACACACACACACACATGCACTTACATACATACACATACACACACACACATACACACAGACCCATACACACATACACACACATATACACACACAAACATACACACACACACACACACACACACACACACTAAAATAACAAAATGACAGGAGTTTCCATAGGCCTTGGACAATTCTAACACCTCTTTCGTACATACAGACATGTACCACAACTTGCCTGAGGATGTCAGAGGTCAACTTCTGGACCTCATTTAATTCCGTCCACTTTGTGGTTTCTAGTCTTTCTGCTTCCTGGCACACTTCTTAATACACTCAGTCATCGTGCTATACCAGATGTTCAAATTGGAGTGCAAATATTTTATTTTCATTTTTCCTTCTCCACTTTAGCATTCATATTTAAATATGCATAACTCAGAAATGGCATTGAAGTATGCCAACACCTCAACTAGATTTCCAGGACTCTGACACATATAGGAACCTTCTGAGCACCCTCAAGCACAGAGCACCATGAGCCCCCATAACCCCCCACTTAGAGTGTGCCTAATAGTTCATTTGAATTGTTATATTTAATTTAAATAAAAATACAAGGAAACAAATGAACATTGTTTACTCTCAAATCTTTCAAGTATAAATATATTTCATTCCTTGCTGTTTTATTCCATTTTTCTTTTATTGAAAAAGGATTTTTCATACACTATGTTCTGATTATGTTTCCTTTCCACCAACTTCCCCCAAATCCTCCCCAACTCCTCTCCCATCCAAATCCACACTTTTATGTCTCTTAGAAAATGAAAAGGCACATAGAAAATAGTAATAAAATAAGATAGGGTCAAACAAAACCAGATAAACCCAGATAAGATAAAAAAAAAAAAAGAAGAAAAAGAGACAAAGTAAAAGTGAAATTTTTAACCTCCAAGTTTTGTGCTCCAATATTGTTAACCATACTACGTAGAGTTTCATTCTTACAAATTTTCCTACTCCAATGCATTTTAGTATTCTCTCAGAATTAGAATATGAAATCATTTTTCATTAATGAGAACCATGTTAATTTATTTATTTATCCAATTATTTTTCTCTTATATTTGAGATTATAATATAATTACAACATTAGTTCCTTACATTTCCTACCTCCAAAACCTCCCATAATTGATTGAAACTAAGATTTTGGGACTTAGAAATTGAGAATATGAATTGAAATTAAAATAATTTATGCCAAATGGTCAGCCTTGAAAACATTCATAGAAGCAATATTACAAGAATTGAACAAGTTATATTTAAAATATATTATACAAATACATATAATATGTATGTAATGCAAAGAAATATGATAATTGCAGAAATCACACAGACCCACATATGTATATAATCTAGATAGTGCATCTCAAATTTTCCCATGTTTTTTACAAGATTTAACACAAAAGTTTCTAAACCTAAAAAAAAACATTTATACACAGAAAGTAAGAAACAATTATATATGCATGTATCATATTTTAAGTTCATTTTGTTCCTTAGAATAATTGTTAACTCAATAAAGTGATGCTCACAACTATGGCTCCTGGTCACATTTAAATTTGACCATTTCTGACACATTACCACATTGTAATATTTAGATATAGTGTCATATATAGACTATAACAATTAGTTCTTTTTTCATGGTATGCATTAAAATGCCCTACTGCCCCTTGATTTTTACAATCAATAAACATGATTAATATGTCTGAAAGTGACACTCTGTTCTAAAATAACACTAAAAGTCCTAGCTTAATTTGAGTGTATATTACTAAATTACCAGGTTGAGAGTATTCTACAAGTGATGATTAAGGTTCCTATCCTGTGAATATAACATATAAGTACATTTGAGGAAAGAAGGGACATTTTTCTAATTACTATCAGCACACAACAAACAGCTAACACTCATGTCATTTTTAGGAGTGACATACTTTAGAGGTTAGAATTGAAAATTATCAGAAAACTAGCCACGGAAGCTCTCATTTATTTGCTTTTAACTTAAAAACATGTCTCTTAAAAATAATACATTTCCAAATACTTATTTTAATATTAAGGGACCTTACAGCTTTTATAGTTCAGATTAATTAACTTTAATGGATTTCTCCAAATTTTTAATCATTTTGACCAATGTATATGTTCTGTTAATCAAGAAAAAATATTCTGTTTATACTATTTTTAGTCTTAAAAAATTTATTTTTATAATATGCAGTTATCATTACGTGCCTAGGGTAAATTCTTATGAGTAAAGACGCTTTTGAAGCACAGTTTTTGAATACCCTTGTGGCTGGAGTTACAGTTGTGTGCTGCCCAACATGAGTATTTTGAATTGTGTTTGGAATCAAAGTATATACTCTTCATAGTAGAGCTATCTACTTCTATTCAGCCACTTCTGGTCTTATTTTTATGTGATAAATTTCAGTAACAAAGCATTCTTGAGATTCCTCGGAAATCATCCAAGCAGTAGTTAAAATCTTAATTTAAAAGCACCTAAATTATGAGAATAGCATAATAGTGACATTATCTTATTTAAATTAGAAATTCTCTATGATCTTAAGAAAAAATAATTTAACTGTGTGAATAAATTGGTATTGTCTTAATCATATGCTTTGCATTTAGTTATGCACTAGAATGTGTCAGGCATTCACCAACTCGATATTTGTCACTCTTATTACTGCTTCTTACCTGTGGGATGACTCATTCCTCACGGGCTTGAGGGCCAGAGGGCCCATACAAGTAAAAAAGATACTTGGTGAGAGCCAGCCTGGGTCTGCCTGATTGTCTTAGCAACAGCAGCTGAAACATGATCTGGAGATGACCTAGACCAATGAGAGACAGCTATGTCACACCAGCTGATGCATATTCATTAAACCTCCCCCCAGGGTGGGGTGGAGGGTATATAAGGCTCTCCTCTTCCTGAATAAACTGAGCTTGTTGTTTCGACATTCTCCCAGGAGTCTGTGTGGTTTGACTCCTTGCCTACTTGGCCTTCGTCCCCAAAGGGAAGAACAACAAGGACACTGCTACACTTACTAAATACCAAATAGAAGAGACTTAAGGAAATAATGGAACAAACAAGAAAAGTCAGAAAACATTCCTTGAGTGTCTATCACAGAAAAGAGCTTCGAAGCACATAATTATGTGGAATATGAGAAAGGTTTTTGAGTTTTTATTTATTGTCCACTTTCTGGTTTATAGTGTATACAAACCTGTTCCATCATATTTCAGTGAGGATGTCTGTTATGCTAAAGGACTCTGTGAAAGCCCTGAGTTAGTTGTCGAAGCAACAAATGAGCAAAAAAATTCAAAACATTAAAGGGCGAGTGTAAACAATAAATTTATAAACTTGGAGACTGCTTAAACTCTGTTGCACAAAAAGATAACAGAATGATAAAATGAAAGTTTCAAAATAAAGATGACTTGTGGTGTTCTCTTTTCATTTGTAAAGATTTGTTCTTCTAGTATGAAGAGTCCAGGTTTTTTCCATTAGGCAATGCTTAAATCAATATTTTTTTGACATGGGAACATAAACCTAAGAGTTGGCCTTTATACATTCTTGGAGATACTCTATGCAGTAAAAATTAAAATCATAATTCCAAGTGTCTTATGGCAACTATGATAACAGAGAGAATAAAAAACATGCTTCAAAGTTAGTTCTCACCTCTTTTGCTATTGTCTGGGCAGGGTTTATTTCTCCACTATCCATATCAATAGGCAAATTGAGACTATCTTAGTGGGATGATATAAGTCTATCATTAAATTGTAGCTCTTCTTGCAAAATATGTTGAGAAAATGTTCATCTATGAGGATAATTTTTATGCTGAGATATTGTCAGAATGAGTACATATAGAGGATTAAACAACTAAATACCTTTGTTTCAGAAGAAGTGGAATGAAACACCATGGAGGTTGAGAAATAGATAAAATCACTGGCAACTGCAATTAATAAATACCTTATGGTATATTTTTCCTAACACACCTTTAAAGAAGAAAAATTCTACTCAAATATAATTTTAATAGAACTCTTGGAATAAAGGTAAGGAAGATATATTAAAGTAGCTTAATGCTGAAGGCACAGCAGTTTAAAGTAATAAGAAATAACTTCTTCAAGAAGGGTCTATCCCATTGTGCTAATCCTTTTCAGAAAAAAATAAAGTTGCACATTTTGTCTAAGCAACCAGAGACTGTAGTATTTAAACATGAGTGCAAATGATAAGCAACTAAAGAAAAACCTTTTGATAATTATCTTATGTTAAAAAAAGTGTTACATTTCACAGCACGTTTACAAGCTGTAGCTGCACATTATGTAACTTTTTCTCACCATTAAATGCTTTGCAGAGTGCCTTTTACAGTCTCCTATTTCAAGTTGAGCCCAAAGTTAACTTGCATAAGTCTGACTTGTCTGCCGTTCACTTTTTTGTACTGCCTCTATATTTGTTGATAGTCCTCATAAAATAGTGCTAATCCAGTCTTGCCATTGGTTTGTCTTTATAAGTTATGCTTTTCAAAATGACTATTTTCATGGCATGTATTGTGTTACCAGTATGGCAATTATAACAGTTATAAAAATACATAGGATGGCATACTAATTTTAGAACTATTCCTTTTGTCAATTGTTTCTTCCTCCTTTAATAATAGATGTGGAACACTAATCTTAAAAGGTCTTATTAATAAAAAAAAAAAGGAGCCAAATATTGGGGTGAAATTTGAAAGATCAGAGAAACAGAAAAAGCCAGTCACGTTCTTACTTCTACGGACTACTCAGCCTCAAGAGAGTGAGTTCCTGTTTCCTCGTGTCTTATATACCTTTCTCTGCCCAGACATCATTTCCTGCAATTAAAGGTGTGTATTCTTCTCAAGAGAACGCATGAAATCTCAAGTGCTGGGATTAAAGGTGTGTGCCACCACTGCCTGGCTCTGTTCCCAGTGTGGCCTGGAACACACAGAGATCCAGATGGATCTCTGCCTTCCAAATGCTAGGATTAAAGGTGTGTGCTACCACTGCCTGACCTCTATTTTTAATATAGTGGCTGATTTTGTCCTCGGATTCCCAAGACAAGCTTTATTGGAGTATACAACATATCACCACACATTCACAACTTTTTAATTATCAAAATTATGTCTACATTTGCAATTTATTTTCTCAGTCAATTGATTTCCTCTGAAAATCTGTTTTAACATTACTTAACTCATAAGAAAGACAATGTAGTTTTCTCACCATTGGGTTAGATGGGACATGTACCACCATAAGAATTGTTAAGAGATACAGGTTTTGGAAGGACAGAGCGATTTAGGAATTATTATTTTTATATTAACGAGCTTGAGTTACATTAGCTCAGAGATCTTTTTCTTTTCTTCTTCTTTTTTTTAATGCAGCACCAAAGTTTTTATCCATGTGAATTGTTAAAATGGGCATCTATACCAGTGTCAAATGAGGCTGGGAGTGGAAGGCAGGGAAGGGCAAAAGAAAGGAAATTTCCTCTATTGATAAAAATGATCCATGTCCATCTCATCATGGATTTCATAATCTCTAAGAGTTATTAAAAATAGAGAACCACATGCTAGGTGGTGATGGCATACTCCTTTGATGTGGACTGTCTTTCCTACATAGTAATTGCAAACCAGTTCTTCCCTTTAGTACCTTGCAGTTAGACTTAAAATGGATGGTACTAAGCTTCCTATGGAAAGCGGGTGATGGAACTAAAAAGGAATAAAATAAAAAGGCAGAATTATCAAAAAGGGATAAATTTTACCATGATTGTGTTAATTTTAGTAAAATTATTTTGAAGTTTTTTTTTCATAAATGTTAAAGTAAGGGAAGCTAACTCTTTAGTTTCTCTATTTTGGACTCAAATTTCTAGATCAATCACAGTCAAGAATCTGTGTGTGAATATACTCTATTTTTTTCTTCTTGTCTAAGAATGAGAAGATAAAACAAGTGAAAACAAAAACCACAATCAGTCTTGAATTTATAACTAAGAAATATTGAAAGTTTGTGTATTTTCATGTCCTTGGATTTACACTAGTGATATCGAATATATGTCAGATTTAAAAGGAATTCTTTTTGGATTTTGGACCTACTGTCCTGTAATATCAGTTAAATATATTTGTCTCTATTCAAAACGTGTTATTTTCTTTATTTTCTCTGTGTACATATATACACATATATATATTTACTTAATTAGACAATGTCTTTCTGTTTAACTCTAACTTTCCTGGAACTCAATCAATTGCCAAGGTGACTTTGGAATCATGCTAAAACTTCAACACTGGCAATTCAAAAACTGTATTAGTGATATGGGCCACCCACCATTCATGACTTTCATTCCCTTTTGATCAGACATCACCATTCACAAGTCTTGAGACACATATGAATACAGCAGCCAAAGTTGTCCAGGATTCTATTTCTAATCTGTGTATTAGAAAGCTTTGGCTATTTCTTGTTTATTCTATTTTGAACATTGATGAACAAAAATATTAAATTAATTAAAAACAAAAATTTTGGGGGTCTTTTCTAATATATTTTGTCATTAGCAATAAAACTCACCTATGTGTTCGTGTTTTCTTTTTCTTTCTTTCTTGTTTTTTTTGTTTTTCTTTTTTTTTCTAGACAGGGTTTTTCTGTGTAGCATTGTGCCTTTCCTGGATCTAGCTCTGTAGACCAGGCTGGCCTCAAACTCACAGAGATATGCCTGGCTCTGCCTCCAGAGTGCTGGGATTAAAGGCATGCGCCACCACCGCCCGGCCAAGGTGTTTTCTTTATCCCTTAGATTATAGCTATCTTTTAACATTAACACCACAAGAGACCTGTATCCTGACAATCTTATTTGCTTTCCTAAGCCTGTCAAAAATCTTACTATATAATTAGCAATGTGTAGCTAGAATATCCCATCAAATAATTTAAGGACTTAATAACCTGAGCATAAGTAAATATATATATTTTAATTTTAATGCTATACTTATTATTTTGACATTTTTGCTAAAGATTTCAAGCTAAAATGATGTTTCCTTAGGTACTTTAACTTTTCACTTAATTTCAAAAATTTTGGATAAATAATATAACATATGAACAAAAATAAAAACTATTTTTAAAACTAAAATACTAGCAAATTGCAGGAAAATTTCTTCCAATATGTGTAGAGTGACTCATTATAACTTATATTATTTTATGTTCTCATTAAAATAAAATATTAAATTCTTTGCATATTTTTGTAATTTCTAATATGTTTAGTGAAACATACTAAGTATATTTTACTCTCTGTACTCTTTAGTTCTACCAAGTACAATTTTTGTGTTTGTAGTTTAAAGAAAATATTAATATTTCCAGCAGAATATGGATATGCAGTAATTAAAATTATAATCATTATTTATAAAGATATCACCATAATCATTATTTATAACGATATCACCAAGCAACTAATAACAAAACTTCTTTGATATTATTGTTTTTTACTGACATTTAAATCTCATTTGGCATTTATTACTACTTTTTCAAATTAACTATTTAAACATTGGAAATTTCAAGAACTAGTTTCTCAAGTCTTTTAGTAGATTTATTTCATTCTTTACATAGTTAAATAATCATTATTGAGCATATTTTTCCATCACTGCCTCCCATCTACTTTCCCTATTAACTTGCACCCCAGATCTTCCCCAATTTCAACTTTCCAATTTGTTTTTTGGTTTTGTTATTAAAGCCACTTGAGTCAAATTAATGCAGCCTAGGTGCACAAGGGGGTGTGGCCATCTAATGGGTAATGGATAATCTTACTGTCAGCCATGTCCCTGAAAGAAAGTGA